TCAATGGTGGTGGATTCAATTCCAGGATGATTTCACCCCCACTTGCACTACTGAGTTAGGAGCCTTCGCCAAGTTGGAGCCTGAGTTCACTGCTCGACGTGTCAAACTCATTGGACTGGTAAGTGGCCCCTACCAGCCATTGCGTAGGAAGAACGAACGGCTGAAAGAGTAAAAGCGAGCATTGGCTAACTGGAACCCCAAATTTTTCCTTTGTCTAGAGCGCCAACGCCCTCAAATCCCATTTCGAATGGATCAAAGATATCGACGAGGTTACCGGATCGAACCTGCAGTTCCCCATCATTGCTGATGCTGATCGCAAAATCTCATATTTGTATGATATGCTTGATTACCAGGACACCACAAATGTTGACGAGAAGGGTGAGTATAAATGAACCTCCGCCCCGGTTTCCTGCCATGAATCGGGAGGGGGCGTCAGTGACTGATTTAACGGACCCACAGGAATTGCCATGACCATCCGCTCCGTCTTCATCATCGACCCCAACAAGAAAATCCGATTGATCCTTAGTTACCCAGCCACCACTGGCCGGAATGCTGCTGAGGTCCTGCGAGTCATCGATGCGCTTCAGACCACTGACAAGAATGGTGTGAACACCCCCATTAACTGGACATTGGGCGAAGATGTCATTATCCCACCGACTGTGAAGACCGAGGACGCGATTAAGAAGTTTGGTGATGTCAGAATTGTTAAACCGTAAGTTTGGTCCTTGTTCCTCTGTCCGTCGGATAAATTCTGTCACAGAAGCTAACTTGTCATCTTTTCTAGATACCTCCGATACACCACTCTCAAGAACTAAGGTCGTAAATGCGTGTGTCTGGGGAAGAGCCGGTTGGAGTGATATTTTGTAAAAACCTGATGACCTATGAACATTGTTCTTGGTATTATTGTTCCTTGGTTTATTTTACTATTTTTTTATTAATTGAAGCGCGCCATGTTATAACAGAAGATCAATCCATAAAATTTTAACTTACCAATAACCAAATTGGTCCCTAACAGGTAACTTGTCTTTTTGCATTCCTCAAACTTTCCACCTTTTGTCTTGCACGTTGCAGAAAGTCAGCCACTTGTTTCCTTCATCCCCCAAGAACATGAATGTTCTGTTTCATATCCAGGTTGGCTCAAGCTGCCAACCAACTAGTAGACTCAAAGTGAGACTCCATGCAAGTCGCCTTATTCAACCCGTGGAACTGAGAACGACTTGAATTGGTTTGAAACAAAACAGTATTCTTTTTGCGGAGCCACCACTCCAGAGCATTTGTGAACACAGCGAGCATCCAGCCAAAATCAGTCATAAAGGATAATGATAACCGGCAAGCGCCAAGTCACGCCGCAGAATCGGTTAAACTTTCGGCCCGGTCACGGGAGCCCAGCGGATACTGCCCAATCAGAGGATTACAATGTCTGTTTGCCGGCTTACATCATTCAGCCGCATAGTTAGTTAGTTAGTTAACCACAACGTCGTTTCTTTTGGATACTTCATCCCATCCCACCAAGAATATTAGTACACTCAGCGTCCATTGACACTGACTTGGCTGTTGTGAACGAGTGGGCAAGCCTCAGGGAGTCTGATTGTCTACCGTCCTCATCATGCCGTAGACGGGTCCTGCGGTTCATGAACTCTGATCGTTTACATCCTGCAAACACTCCCTATCGAACAAACTATTGGAAACCGAGGCTCTCCCTATACTACACAGTGCAACCTTCACTCCCGTCTCAAACTATTGGTCTGCGCACCAGCCAATTTCAATTTCCTCCCGCCGGCCGGAGATCCGATACACTGTCCTTAGCTGTTCTCCACTCCATATCGAAATTCCTGTACGATTTTGCAAACGCGATTCGCAACTGGCGTTGGATGAACTAATTTTAATCCTCAACCTCTCCCTTGTTTTCCAGCCCCACTTGACCAACTTGTTATGGTAGTGCAGACGGCATACATGTCAGACAAAGAAGAGAGGAGCATTTGACGAAATTCTTGCAGTCGTATGTTTAATCCCCTATGATTTTGTTTGATTTATATAAGACTTTCGTCTCGCTTTGCCTCGATCCCTCCCCTTGCACCCAACTTTATGTTTTTTAGTCGAATGGCAATATATCCACCCATTGCATCCTTCCTTATGTAGTCATTTAGCTAACCATGGCGGGAATAGGCTTAGAACGTGAAACTGGCAAGCCGGTTGAAGGAAGCAGCCCTACAAAGGCGGTTGCAGAATCCTCGACCCCGGCTATACCGCCGCCGCCGCTTACCCCAGACACCTCGAAACGATTTACCTCTGTCATTAAATACTTTCGCTCTTCAAAAACTCGCAGCACTACCATATCTACAACTTGGCCTTCGAGAAGATTTATTTCAAAGAACTCCGCGAAACCTCCGTCGGAGGAATCTTCCCGCAATAAGATTCCTGAAGCGCTCCGTCTCACAACACCAACTACTTCCAAATCACCAGACCTTGATCTATTTCGAAGCCCCAGTTTACCCGTCCCCGCAGCTGTGTTGGAGCCTGGCCTGAGGCAGAATATTGAGTTAGAAAGGAGATTTCTAGAGTACCAGGAACCGAGGGAGACATCTCACCGGAAAAGCTCATTACCTTTTCTTGAACCTGGAGTTGCTGATTCTGTGCCAAAAAACCCGTTGCGAACTGAAGTGCCGTTTGTGAAAGCTTTTTTTGAATCACCGCTAGTCCCGTCGTCTAACAACAAAAAAGCCGATACATCGAGCCCACCTACCGAAAGTGTACTTAAAGCTATGGCATCAAATAACCCCATTGGGGGCCAGTATGATTCATTTCAAGAGCAAAATGCGGGGCCGAGTACTACAACCGGGAACCAAACTGCCCAGTCACCGTTGCCGAACGGTCAAAATTCATCATCCACTCCAACAAATTTATCGGGTTTGGTGTGTAATGTTCATCGAACGACAGGGCGAGAACCCCGTCCCCTCGTAGGGCCTTCTAGCACTGTTCTGGGAGATAAGCTATATGTGTTTGGCGGGCGGGTACAGTCAAGAAGCAGACCCGAGCTATTAACTAATGAGATGTACGAATTGGATTTGGTGCGTCGTCATTGGACTAAATTAGAAACAACGGGAGATATTCCTCCTCCACGTTATTTCCACACCGTATGTGCGTTGGGCGATTCAAAACTAGTATGCTATGGCGGCATGTCTGCGAAAGCTGCTCTTCCAAATCAACCACCTGCGACTCCAAACAAAACTTCCCAGCGGTCAGGAGAGGAAGCACAGCAAGGAGTTGTGCTTTTGTCAGATGTACATATCTTCGATGTCCCTAGTAGAACCTGGGTTTTCATTCCGACCGCCAATGCCCCCAGAGGGAGATATGCCCACTGTGCAACGATTTTACCGTCAAGGGCTACCTTCGGTTCCTCGAATGCTCCCATATCTGCCCTCCACCATAATCCGTCTTCATCCAATCCACACCAAGGTACATTAGGCGTGGAGATCGATGGATATGGCGGGGCGGAGATGATCGTCGTTGGTGGCCAGGATACATCGAATCATTATTTTGAAGAAATAAATGTTTTCAATCTGCGAAGCCTAAAATGGACTTCGACCACCTCTCTTGACCGTAGTTGTGGGGCCTATCGCAGTGTTGCCACTCCTTTGCTCGGAGTGAAGCCTTCTAATATTGGAGGTGGAGTTGAGGTGGAAGGGTTCAGGGACCCGACGAAGCCGGATGCTCAGAAGCCAGATCCACTGCTGTTGATATACTCGAATTACAATTTCCTAGATGTCAAATTAAACCTGCAGCTCCGTACATCTGACGGGAAGCTTACAGAGAAGTCAATGAATGGCACGGTTTCACCTCCTGGCTTACGGTTTCCTAATGGGGGCATTATCAATGGCCATTTTGTGGTTAGCGGTACCTACCTTACATCGTCCAAACAGGAGTACGCAATGTGGGCTCTGGATTTGAAAACACTCACATGGGGACGTATTGATGCTGGAGGAGCAATTTTTAGTCACGGGAGTTGGAATCGCGGTGTTTTGTGGAGCCGGCGAAGCACATTTGTCGTGATTGGACATCGGAAACGAAGTTTAGTTGAGGACTACAACCACCGGCGCATCAATTTCTCACACATCTGCTTCGTGGAACTCGAAGCGTTTGGCCTGTATGAGAATCCACGACGAAGCGCCCCAACTTCGGGGTATGTGTCCGTAAGCAGCCCCATGGTACCTGCGTCGCTACAAGCAAAGATTTCCCAGCAAGGTGCGGGGGGGCGACCATTATCTACGACAGCGGAAGAATTGGGCAGGATGGCTCTATCACTTCGGGAACTGTCTGATATGGAGCTGCTCACTATTGGCGGCGAGCGTATCCCAGTCAACTCTCACATTTTGGCTCGTCGTTGGGGCCCATATTTTATTCAACTTCTCCGTGAATCTACAATCGCAGAAGAGAACATGTCAGATGCTGCTACCGTACGCCAGCAGACTTCGTCTCACCCTAGTCGCAATTCCAGCATCACAATAACACCATCAGTGGGAAACAATAGCAGTTATTCTGCCGCGACTACCCTCATCGGCCATACAGGCGCATCATCCAACCAGAGGACCCCGCCGTCACTCCTTCCAAACCTTGAAATCCCCTCCGCGCACACTCTTACACCGACTTCTCGCCCTAGAACCTTGTACCTCCCCCACACTCACCTAACCGTCCAACTGCTCGTTCATTATCTTTATACTTCCTCACTCCCACCCCCGGGCTCCCAACTCTGTACTCCACAGATCCTCTGCTCTCTCCTCCAGCTTGCACGACCCTACCAGGTAGATGGCCTCCTCGAGGCCACGGTCGAACGACTCCACCAAGTGCTGGACGGGCGGAACGCTGCAGCAGTTTTTAACGCCGCAGCCATGGCAGCTGGCAGTGGCCGTGGCACAGGCTTTGCCAGTGGACCGGGTGGAACCCTCGAAGTATTAAACGGGGTCCACTCGCGTTCCAACGCCGTCGCTTCCGCCATAGAACCAATGAGCATACTGAACCTCAACTCCAACTCAGACACGGAATCTGGAGACACATCGGGGCCACGATCGGGTACCGTGGGTGGTGGACCTGGACAGTCCCAGCGCGGCACACCAAGCGCCCAGCGACCAGCCAACCTACGCATCAACACCACAAATCTCAACACTGGAAATGCACCTGGTGGTTTTAGTGCGGGAGGCAACCGCAATCGCGCTGAATCAGTCAGCAGCGCGGCTAGCACGGCTACGTCTGCTTCAACAAATACCAGTCTCAGTTTCTCTGAGTCTATGGGCGTGGATGACATTGCTCGTCATAATGATCCCAATAATAAAAACAAAGATGATGACATGGTGGGCCACGAGCGCGGGCGGAGCAAGCCTGAACGGGAGATTTGGACGGGTGAGATTAGCAGCGTTGTTGGGCTACAGAAAAGGGGGTTACGCGGGTTGATGGAGGGGCGACGGATGAGGGAGAGGGGTGGGAGGCCGGCCAATCCGCCTGGGGCAGCTGGTGTTGGAGGTGAGGATGGAAATTCCACCGACACTGGTGGAGCACCACCAGCGATATCTGCGGCTCCGGCTGGTGTTGCTGTAGGCAGTGGATAGAAATGGAATGAATGAATGAGAAGAAAAAAGAAGGGAGGGGATTCTGTGTTTGTGCTCTCTATTGGCGTTTAGGGATTGAGATGATGACACGAATGCTTTACATTATCATGTTATTATGTTCTATTGTCCTTTTTTTTAGGTTTTGTTTCTTCGCCCAGGCCGCCTCTTATTTCTCACCTTTCTTTTTTACTCTTCTATGCTTCCACCTCCCTTCTTCCCTTCTTCCCTCCTCTTATACTTCTTTTTCTCTCGTTCTATTTCTATTTCTATTATCCCTGATCTCCCTTATTCCGTTGTCATTTCTAGCCTTTGACTTTGTTCCTTCGTGGATCTTATCGCATTATCGTATTTCATGATGCGAATCCGCTCAAGTTAGTGGGAAAAAAAAAAAAAAAAAGTAAACCAGCAAACCTCAAACTGTTAAAGCGTTCCATCTCCCTGGTACGACAAGTGTATTTATTTATGTATTCTTCATCGGGATATGTCTATTCATTCGCTTTGGTCTCAAATTCTATGATTTCGTTTAGGAAATTTTCTAGGATATCTCCGCCCCATATTTCACACTCGCTTGAGCATGGGACGAGTGCGGCACTTATAAAAAGAAAGGAAAAGGGAGATAGATAATAAGTAGACAAAGAAATTTTTAAAAATAAATAAAATAAAATAAAATAAAATAAAATAAAAATTAACACCCTCTAAAGCTATGCAAACCGCCAAAGAACTAACTAGATATATATATATATATATATATAGGGTCGAGTAGTTTGAAACCACATTGAAGTCCAAGAAGGACCATAGGATATAAAGTGAAAAGGGCCATGCCTAGGAAATGAAAAACCTGAAGAGGCTGGGAATTGATGCAGTGTATATACGGCGCAAATCGAAGGAAACTAGCTAAAAACCCTTTCCCGACACGAGGAGGAAGAATAGAGACATACCACCAGCAGCGACATAACGATATCCTTTGTCCAAAGACACCAGGTACCCACGTGGGTTGCTATGCAGTTAAATTTTATCTAAATAGTGTAAAACAGTCGCCAGGAAGAGCAAAATAAGAAGGGGGAACGAAGAGGGAAAGAGGAAGGAAGAGAACAATTCCCCCTCTCCTTCCCCTTCCGGCCCCTACCAACCCGGCCAACCCATGTGGCAAAGTAACGTTTCAGCGCTCCGGAACCGCTCTTGTCAGCACGCGTATATTATCTACAAACCCTTTAATAAGCTCCTCGTACTGGTTTTTCGGATCCCCTGCAAGTGCTAGGTCGCCTTGGCGGCGCACTTCGGCGGAGGAGATCTCTATTTCGAGTTCGTGTTCGAACTCTGATTGTGAGTTATTGGAACAATCCTAAATTGTTTTTGGCGGATTAGTGATATGTAACGTTGTGAAAAGGGAAACTAATGTTACGGATAGAAAGCACTATGGGGAAAAGAGGACGGCGAATGTGGTTAAGTCGAGCATGAATATGGTGATACAATTTTGGGCCTCCAAAGACAAATACAAAATTTCGGATACAAAACTGTGAAATGAAAGGGCAAATAAACATGGTTCGCTAACGTGGAGGCGGAAAAGAAAATGTATTACAAATTGACATACCTCTGTAGTAGCAACCTGAGTCAAATCAATTTGATACGCCAGATGTCTATAGCTCATACGATCTTTGTTTCTCGCACCACCTCGTGGTGCCCCGGTCCCAGCCCCAACCAACGAGCTCGGCTCATCAGGCAAACTGAGTTCGCTAATATCACCTTCGTAGTTCATTTCGAGATTGACACTTATTCGCCAATCAAGACAGGTTCTCGGACTGTAAACATCGAGATCCGCAATGCGACATTTGATGATCCGAGCAAGAACTGCGCCTGTTCGTTGGTCTGTTGTGACACGGACCTTGGGCTTATGGCGGGGGTTAAGATGGTGTTGGATTATAGGTGGGAGTGCGGAGGAGGATATTTGGTAGAACGTGTCTCGTTCCTTTTTGTGGGCATAGGTCAATGGGATGCGGGTGCCAGATTGAGATACTGAGGATTTCACGGTGTCATTGAGGAAGTCGTTGAGAGCTCGGTGTTGGGCCTACTTAGATATTATTGCCTAATCAGACATTTTTTGTCTATACAAAACATTGAAGGTTGTAGAAGGGGGTGGAAGGGGAGGTGTGGGGTCCTTACTAAAGACATTGAGCTTTCGAAACCAACTCGGATACTAGGATCATCTTTGGCAAGAACACACTCCGTAAGAGCCGGTATCCGGACGCGTTCTCCACGATTTCTGTCGACAAGCATGCCCAGCTTAGCTTCAACTTCGAGAACAGCGCCTTGTCCAACTACTGATCCGCCAGCAGGGCCTGCTCCAATATCTCTCCTCATAACAACCTGTTGGAACAAAAAGTCGCAGATCAATTTCGTAACTTCCTCGTGAGGGATGAACCCCGTAATGGACGGTTCCCACGGGCCCAATGAGGTAGCATTTTGGTCTATGGGCGGAGGAGGCCGGGAAGGGAGATTACCATTTGTCGGGGCTTCATCATTTGGTGCCTCTAGAATTGGATGCGGCTGCGAATGTAGGGGACGATCTCTCGACGTGAATTTGTCGGGCTGAGGTTCGTGGCTTGCAATGGCACGTTTAGGGGGAGGAGGGGCATTGAGCCCGGTGGGTATCGCTGGGGGATGGCCGCTGGTTCGCGGAGCTTTACGCGCGTAGATCGGAGGTTCATCGTATCGCCTTGGTCTCTTTTTGGGAATTTCGGATGGCAGTATAAGTCTATTCATAGAGTCCTCTGTCGCCAATTGCCTTTGGCTATTCGTTTTGGAAGTGGGAGGTTCACTCTGCCGCAGACGTTTGGTAGGTGGTGAAGTTGTTGGTGGTCGACTATTGCTTGCAGGTTGCGGTGTTTTCGGTGTGGAAGGAGGGTATTGTGACGGTATTGTATCACCGGCGTCATGTGGGTGCCCGGGAACATGAACGGCATTATTTCTGTTATTTTTCGATGTCGTGTCATCATCATCCTTACGATATGGTTGAGGGGTCTGATCACCAAGTTCGTTATCATCACTCAGTCTGCTCACATTTGCCACTGCAGTTGGGGGCTAATACTCACGTTGTTCTCCTCGGTTCTCATTGAATAATGGGTTTGACTCTCGCCACCAGGACCTTGGCTGTGCGCCGCCTGCACAATTGGGGATCCTGTATCTCTCTGATCCCGCAACTGATTATCTTGGCTGCTCCAGGGACCTGAGAGAGAGCGGTTTTGTTGAGAATCGAAACCGGAGGACGGTGGTCGTGCCTGATGTGGCGAAGGGCGGGAAAAGGAGGCTGAGGGAGGGCCAAGGGGTGTTCCTGGATGGGAGCGTTGTTGATTTGGAGAGAACGGCTGTGACTGCTGCGGAATAGGCTGATGTTGTGAAGCTCCAATGCTTTCACGTGGAGGATAAGAGTAACTCTGAGAGGAGGTAGGAGTTTGAATAGAATGGACGGATTGCGAGCGCTGCTGCGAGAAATATGATTGCGGGGTCCCAGAGCTCATAGCCTGAGGGGTATATGGGGATGATAGGGACCCTGCAGATTGATTGTAGGCAGAACCGGCGGAGGCCGGAGGGTAGTTGTCGCGGGAGACAGGTTGGTAGGTCTGGATGGAATGTGGTAAAATGCTCGCGCTCTGAGAGTGTTGAGCGGCACTGCTCAACGCTGGCGTATGTTGATATGGCGAAGTAGTGGATCCATAGGGTGAAGAGCCACCAGGAGAGCGTAGAGGTAGAGGGGGTTGGAGGTTGGGAGGTTGAGGTGGTTTTGCGCGGAATTCGGGGGCCTGCGGAGCCTGCTGGGTTGTGTGGTATGAGACTGGCGAAGCATCATCGTGCTTTTTCACAGGGTAGATGGAACCCAGGTCGTGGCCCTGAGGCTGTTGAGGGGAAGACGGGGAATGTTGCGCCGTGGGAAATTTCTGGACACCAGCAGCGGCGTCGTTATTGATGATGGTGCGCAAGTCCATGATCACGATAGTGGACGGCTGGCCGAACGGAGCCACATTTAAAGGCCACAAGTCCAGCTGGCCGTCCCAAGGTGGTAGCTAACGACAAGAGCGCAAAGGAGCCGGAACGGGTTCACTGGGCGTCTGATAAAGACCGTAATGAGGCGAGGTTGGTGAAGGACGCGAAATTTTAGTTCAGGGAGGTTTGGCGAATTTCCGCTTTGGGAAGTCTGCGATGGAAAAATCCGATAGGGCGGAAATAACGTGATCGAGGGGCTCAGCGCAAAGCTTACAACTATGCAGATATATAGATAGTATAGTCATTGGGTATGTATTTTCTTAGTGAATAATGTAGCACTAGAACATATATTATATCTTTTGGGTGAAGCTCAAAATCTTTTCCTGCCCTCATCTGGCCATTAGATTGTTCTAACTTATGATAACTGGGTTACTTTCTGGTTGCCAATGAATAAATTACTATAGCTTTCCCTGGCCT